AATCAATCGTCACTCTGTGTAAAACCATTATGAAAATAAATATTACGTGAAAACCATACTTAATGACTATAAGATATTATAGTTAAAAGAGAAAACAAAAAGACTTTGATTAAAATAAATTTATTATTTGATCACACAAATGTTTCAAAAAATTGATTGAAAATAGCAATATTCATTGGAAATTCTCATTATATATCTCAAATAGTTTGGTAAATGTGTTGCAAACATATGAAATTCGGTATTATATTAAAACAATCCTAAAGTATATATATGTATGTATGCAACATGCTCATATTGCTTTGCGTTTGATCTATTTGAATGGAACGTTGCTTTTTATGGATTTAACGTTAAGCTTGTTGACTTCTTTCCTCATTAACACATCTCTAATGTCCTTGTAATTATTAAGGTTCGTCTATTGTCATTAAATTTTCAATGAATATAACACATTGTGGTTAGTAGTACTGTGTCTTAATGCAACTTATTTCATATTAATACAATATCAGATGTCATTGTAACTTTCGAAGTAAATTTTTTTTTTCAAATCTCATTACTTCTAGCCATCAAGAGTTACTTGACAGTTACGGAATATCTGTTTCACAGATGACAACAGATATGTTCCAAAAGTCGTAATCATAATTCCGTCCTCTTGTCCTCGAATGTAACCTACCAAATTAAACTAAGCACATGATTTGTACTTAAATGAGCTTTACGACGGGTGTAACATGTGGAGCAGGATCTGCTTACCCTTCCAGAACACCTGCGGTCACCCCCGGTGATGTTCGTGTTTCTGAGTCTTTAGGTTTCTATGTTGTATTTTATGAACTGTTGTTTGTCTTTTTTTCGATTCTTGCCATGGTATGGTCAGTTTGATTTCAACTTTGAATATCCCGTTGGTATCTTTTGTCTCTCTTTTGTTACGATCGGCTTTTTTCATTTGCGCCAATCAACATTTCATTTGAACCCTTTTGTTCATTTGCGCCAATCAACATTTCATTTGAATCTTTTTTTTTTTCATTAGCGTCTATTTTCATTTAAACATAAGTCATGAGGAACATAAGTGCTATAGAAGTTATTGATATTAAAACACACCCGCGACATCGCGGGTCCGTGACTGAATTTAAGTACCTACGCCTTATTTTTAGCCTGGATGTTTAGTACTGGTATTGTCATCTGATAAAGTCATGCTAATATTAAGGTGCACAGTTTTCTCTGCTTTCAAAATCTTTCAAAATCTTTCTGTTTGAACCAGTCCTAGTGTTCTTACTACAACCGGAAACTACATGTGACATATACTATTGGTATCGGTATTAGATTCGACCCGGAACTTGTTAATTATTGGTAGTATTAATTATGTGGAAAACAAAAGAGCCTTGATTGGTGTAATTTTTAATTAACACCATTTCCCTATATAAATTATATATACAGTTGATTTTTTTTCTTCGTCCTTTTTACGTGATGCCGGCTAGCCAAATTGGACTTCGTTATTTTAGTAGTATAGATGATTTCAGAAAATACATCGTCCGTCTGTCAGTTGCACCTTGCATACCACGGGAAGGTGGAAGTGTGATTTTGATGAGAATAAGTTTATTTTTTTTAGCTTGTAAAAGAATTTTTATCCCACGTAAAAATAGCAATTTGAAGTCATATGTACGTACATTTGCATATTGAAAATGCTGATTTGGCCAAATAATTAATTGAAGGTATAATTTACTATTACCTCGTAAAATGACTTTAATTTTTCTAATTTACAATTGTAAGTAAAATAACACAAGTAAGAAACAGGAATACAATTTCAAGTAATTGTGGTATATTACACCAAGAAACATGAAAAGATTTACTGGATTATACAAATAGGGTAAACTGTACCTCGGTTAAATTGGAATCTGGGATCTTTTATGAGTTTTTATAACCACTGTGTTCATGCCACTGCTGGTAGACGTTTCGTCCACGTGGGTGTCTCAAGCCCAGTAGTTGGCACTGTCGTGCTGACATGAAATAAACTGATATGTCAATTTTTGTTAATTTTCCGTTGATAAAATGTTTTTTTTTAATAAAAACCTGAAGTTTTACTACCTCCAGGCATATATAGCCTAAGCCATATTTGGATCAACTATTTTTTGAATGTTTGTTTTACAATGCTCTACTACTCTGTTATTGATTTTGTCTTGCAATCGTTTAGAATCGAGCGCCACTGATGAATTGTCTTATGTAGATGAAACGCAGGTCTGTCGTAATAAACAAAATAAGCCTGGTATGTATGATGAGTTGTTTCATCGTCTTGTGGCATTTGCCAGGGAATCAGTCTTAACTTGTATGCAATAAAAGGTATTTCGATATTTGAGGACAAGTTCATCAAAGATATAGTTTCTTACAGAAAAGCTTAGGTTTGAGTTTGAATTTCACATACAAAAAAAAACCCACAAAACTATGAAATTGCAGGATTTAGCAATTGAAAAAAGGTGGTCTTTAATTAGTGGTTGTATTTCTATGTCTAGTTCCAACTATACTTTCGTTATTGTTACTCAGTTTTTGTTCAGTCTGAAAAGTTGTTTTATTCAATCATTCTTGTTTATTGAAAAAAACATTTCACTAGTGGTGTAGTGATCGGCGTACGTTTTAAATATTTTAATTGTCAGGTTTAATATCAGCCAAAATGATACTTGAACTCCCTTTCCTTTTTCAAGCGTTCAATTCAAATTTTGAAGAAGTCGGCCAAAACGTCGGCAAACTATAACGATTTAACTTGATCTATCTTATAAGTAATTCACATTAGTTTATGTTTTTAAAGTCAATCCATCCGGTCGTCCGTCAACACTTCGTACGAAAACTCAAATTCGCTTTAACCAATTCTCATATAAAATTTTTAAAAACATTAAAATTGAAGGAAGAAAGCTCCCTTTCCATTTTTTTGCTATATCATTCCAGCGTGACGGAACGTTGACTCTTAGATCTAGATTTTGGGTAGTTTTTCACAAATCGCGCACTTACTCAAGTTTTCCTAATTTGATTTTCTCAAAATTTTATATTAATGTAAGGATTAATGAAAGAAAGCATCTTTGTGATTTTTTATTTTTTATTTACCGGGTTGTCGTTCCTGTGTTACGGAACTTTAACTGTATCATTAATGGCATTTTTTACAAATTGCGCACTTACTCCAATATTCCTGGATTGATTTCCTACACACTTCACATTATTGTGGAGTTTGTTGAAAGTAAGCCCCCTTTTGCTTTTTTATATTTCTGGTTTGTTGTTCCAGAGTTATGGGACTTTAATTGCCAGATTTTAGTAATTTTTTTACATATTGTTCTACAATTTGAGTTTGCTTGGATTGATTTAGTGGAAACTTCTAAAAACAAACGGTATCCTCAAGCTTGCAAGTTTTTTTCTACAGAACCATTTATTTGCTAATGATTAAATGCCTTCGAAATATTCAACAATTTTAAATGTACAAAATAAAATATTGGAGTTCGAGTCTCGAATTTTAAATTTAGACATTGAATTTCAAATTTCTGATGTTGAATTCTGAGTTACCGTCTTAGCTTTCAAAATTATTAATGACGTCAGAATAAAAAATTTCGTAATGAATTACAAAGATATATATATTTAGATTTTACACGTGGTTTTTTTTAGCTGGTTCAAAATAAAAATTGTCGAAGGATACCTTAATTTAAGTCATTAGAAGCATGCAGCTTAGTTACATGGTGACAGCTAGATTAATACATGTTGTTTTTTTTTCATAGGTTAGAACTTTTGTTATTCTATTATTTAAAAGTAATTGCGTCCATTATCATTTAATGATTTAAACATCAGATGCGGATTTCGGCAACATATGTCTCTTCAGTCATGCTCGGGGCTAAACAATTCGAAAATCTAAATTCTATTTGAAGAGCTGATATAACCGAAAAGGACAAAAGTATAACCAAAGCCGGGTAAGAAATCAAACTTTTGTATGGGTGCGATATATTCCCTTTTTTAAGATAATTTCAAAAATTACGTAACAGAAAATTTCAATAACACAATATCCGTATTTTCATGCCAGTACCGAAGTATTGGTTACTGTTCTGGTGATACCCTCGGGGAATTACGATCTACCAGCAGAGGTATCTAACCAGTTGTAATAATAATATAGACGGTTCCAATTTTACTGCACCAGATCCGCATTTCGACAATAAATGTCTTTTCAGTCAAAACTTACTCAAAAATTGAAGATCTGATAAAACCAAAAAGGACAAAAAGTATAGCAAAAGCCGGGTAAGGAATCAGAGCTTTGCATGAGGGAGATATATTCCTTAATTTAAAACAATTTCTTAAATTATGTAACAGAAAATTTCAAAAACACGATATCCTTATTTTCATTACTGGCTACTGAGCTGGTGTGATAGTGATTGTATTCCTTCCCTACTGGTCATTGTTGTAATTGTAAGGGATGAAGTGCATTCATAATTTTTTTTCAATCATAGTGAGAACTTTGCCCTTTCCACTGCTTTATGTATAGTATTTTGTATTTCACGTTGGTATTATACATTTTAAGACTTATTTTTTAAATTACTTCAATTTATTTCAAGGTATTTCCGCTTGAATATACTTAACAAAGAAATATTGTTAAAATCAATAGTTTTCCATCAAAATCCATTATCAGATAATTTAAATCTTAACATTATCGGATCAAAAACCTGATAATCTAGATTTTAATTGTCTCACTTTCGCCGTCATTTTAATTCATATACTTTTTTTCATTTCATTTAAAAAAAAATCACATTGAAATTGCAGACTGTGGATCAATAGTATAATAAATTAAAGTATGTTTGTTTATTGTTTGGAAGAAATTTACATTATTATTAAGGATTCAAGCAAGACGTACATGCATCTACCAGATAATTATCTTATACAGAATGTCACTTCATTATACTGAGCGCCATGTAAAACTATAATCCGCTCTAATAACAAATGTTAAATCCTTAAGCAGAGAGAAGCTACCAAACAACAACCACAGCCTACGCAACATAATATATACTGACTTCAAAAGATTCTGGTAGTTTATTAGTTATGGAAACTTTTTCATTGCAGTGTTACGGAAAGCTTCGGCCGACAGGCTGAATAACTGATCGATAACAGCGCCTCACACAGCAGAGCATTCAATAGATTTTGTATATAGCGACTGTCACACCGGTAACTGATCAATGTTAGCGAACATGTTATAATGTACCGGGATTAAAGTAATAATACTGATAAAAGTGATAGAAAAGAAAGATAAGAGACGTTAAAAGTTATATTTTATGAAAGGTAAGTTTTCTTTCGTTTGATTGATATTATGTCGATTTAAATTGTCTAAAAAAGGGAATATTACAGAATTATTGATAATAATCATATGTGATAATGATATATATTAAAAGATGTACGAAATTACATAAAATAATGGGAATTCCGCTAATTCGTATACTGATATTTTTGTAAATATATTTTTGGTATTTTTGAACAAAACTATTTTTTAATTTTGAATTAGAAAGAAATTTGATCATTTTCCCTCGTTAATACATGTAATAGTTACAATTCCTTTGAAACAGTGTTATTATGATGGGTTATATACAATTACTAAAATCATTTTGTTTTATCAAAGAATTACTTCTGAAGCATAATATGAAACTAATCATTATTTAATAATACATGGAAAATTTTCCTTATCATTTTCTTATTTTATATTTCCACATGTTAGTTGTACCTAGTCTACTAATTACTGCAGTGTTCAAATGGTTTAATTATTTATGCTGACTCTAAAAAACAATAATAAAAATATATTAAAACAATGGATTATATAAAATCGACAAAAACTAAATCTTTTCTTAAATGTTAATTGAAAAAAAACGTAAAAGAGCGAATGCAATTTCTTGATTTTTGCATATTTCGTAGGAAAATTCTTGAACAATAACATAACTGTATCGAATTCTGATGTTTTTTGGCATCAAAGTAGATTTAAATTATGTTTGAATTACCATGTTCCGAATCAATGCTAAATCTTTTAAATAACAGATGGAAAACTTATCAACCAAAGATATAGGTAGAAACAAAACTACAAGGTGAATGTAACATAACTGGAATTAATAGTTTGACTTAGTTAAACGGAGGAAAATGAACAAGTACCTGTCAATGTTAATGTCTGAACAAACACTGATTCTTGTAATGTTATGATGGAGAAACGTCTTCTTTTATTAGGTTCGTTCAATGAATGTAAGAAAATATTGCTGTAAGTGCAATCAATACTATAATCAATGTTTTCTTTTAATTTTGAAGGTGGTTACTTTCACATCAAAACGTCGTATAATCAAGATTTATAACTAAAAAGGCGAGTACTGACATTTTAAAATGTTCCATTGGTTTAAGAATAAAAGCAAAGCATTCTAAACGAGCCGGATGTCTTTACATATTTCTTTTTTTTGTTTTTAGGGTTTTTAAAGTACTTAATTGTTTGTCGTAAAAAAATCTTTCAAGGTCAGAAACGACTGTGTAATAGGAACTGATCAAAATATACACATTTTCTGTTGAGCCGCAACTATCTATTCATAACGGCTGATTTTTGTATCTTATTTATATATTTTATTCAATTACATATTTATATTTGTAAATATCTGTCACAGGTGGTAGGTTACATCAATAAAACATATTATTTTTTATATTAGTTATTTTCAAGGTTCAACATACATTGATTAAAAATCACACGGTTTGTAATCCTAACATTTACAGTTATCATTGCCATGTCATGAAGACAATCTTTTTACTTGAAAAAAAACATGAAGACAATCTTTTAACTTGAAAAAGCATGAATGTGCAAATTGCGATATTTGCCAAAAGTGTGCAACAAAATAGCAGACATTGTAAGAGTTTATATATAAATAAAAGGATGACTTAAGAAAAAATGATTTCGTCGAAATATGATGTATCTTTCTTGATCTGTTTGAACATTCGGAATTTTGAGTCCTGAATGCTCTTCAACTTCGTACTTTATTTAGTCTTTTAACTTTTTGATTCGAGCCTCACTGATGAATCTTTAGTAGATGAAACGCGCCGCGCGTCTGGCGTACACAATTATATGCCAGTTATCTTTGGTGAGGGTTTTTTTTATGAAGTAAAACATGCAACAGATTATATTTAGTATGTTGCAAGATAGAAAAACTGCAATAACCAATCCCTCCTTTTGACACGAGGCTGCTTCGAATATTGTATTCAATATATTTATACCTTATAGGTCTAAATATTCGATTGATGTTTGATTGATATAAAACATCTTTTTTGTATTTAATTGATAAAAAAAAAGGTTTGTTTATCAGGTAAGGAAAATGTTTGTAGTTACATGACTTCTTTTCCCTTTGATGGCAATGAACTGTTTTATGTTTTATGTTTCTCGTTGTAGACCATATTCAGTTTGTTTTACAGTTTTTTGCTCTCGAAATATTTAAAATACATACATATACTTTAAAATCTTTCATTTTTCATAGAGTTTGAAACGTGCTGTCAGATTCAACTCTTAATTTATATGAATAGAGTACTCCCGCATTGCCAAAATTCAGGTCAATAATGAAAATTGAGTTGATAAAGTTAAAGCAGATACCAATATTGTAGTTTGGAATATTTTGTCAGAGAGCATATGGAACTATGGTTTCAGTGAAGTTGCCTTATAATCTTAGTGAAAATATCTATCAAAAATAAAATTCGCATCCTCATATCCCGAAATTTTTTATATCGACTTTTCATTCAAAACAATCAAATAGTAATACATTTACAAAGATTAAACGTTTTGTAACTGAAAAAAAAGTATTTCTAGATTCCAATTTCAACTTAAACGAAAATGAGATAATTTTATCTTGGGGCAGGGGGTAGGGTGTTTACTCTGTTTACATATTTGATTTTCATTCCCCGTACATCGGATAGCGTTGCTAAATAGCGAAAGATGTGTGAAAATGTTTGCTACGCCAAAACAACTAGAAAAATGTATTAACGAAAATACTGAACTCCAAGTTAAATTCAAAAAAAGGGGGAATGCATATTGCGGCCTGATTCCTGCTTTGTATTTCTGTTGTTGGAGAGGATGAAAAAAGTTTCTAGAAAAGTTTTGGACAGTTCTACCGTACAACATAGGCTGACAGTTCTAACTTAGAACATATTCTGACAGTTCTACTCTAGAATCAACCCTTACAGTTCTATCCTTGGACTGTTTCTGACAGATCTACCCTATATCAGATCCTGATCTATTTCTGGAATAGTTTAAGACAAGATTTATTTATTTATTTATTTATTTATTTTCTTAATTTTTCTTTCATAATTTTATTGTATTTTAAAACAATATAGTCTAGGATATTGTTGTTACTTTTCATAAGACAGTAATTAACTTTGTTCTTTATTCATATATTGTTATTTTTAATTTTTTTAAATATTTTATACCAAAATTTACATAACAATGCCAAACTATTTTTCGTGTTTGAATGGTTTTACACTAGTCATTTTTGGGACCCTTTATAGCTTGATGTTCGGTGTGAGCCAAGGCTCCGTGTTGAAGGTCGTACTTTGACCTATAACGGTTTACTTTTACAAATTGTGACTTGGATGGAGAGTTGTCTCATTGGCACTCATACCACATCTTCTTATATCTATATATTCATCATTACACAAGATTGTTTAATGCCATAAAGTTCAATCAGGTAAATTCAGGTATAAAAACACTTCCCGAGAAAATGACAGGGCCTGAAATATACTGTGTAATCTAAATATAATGGTTTACTTTTACAAATTGTGACTCATACCACATCTTCTTATATCTATGTAAGTAATAAATACGTTTTTATGCTTAAGCATTTTGTTGTACAAAAGGAATACTTTTGATGAAAAATTATTAGAATACAACGAGAAATAACAGAACAAGCATACAAAAACTTATAAGCAAATACGTACGGTGACCTGTAATTGTTTACATCATTGACCTATTGTCTTTATGGATAATTTTGTCATGGCTATCATACTGCATGTTTTTATTTTCTATAAGATGAAGTATTGACCATGTAGACCAAGATTTTATAAAGGTGAATAAATACTGATACACGAAACATTCTGTAAACATTATACATCTTTAAACGGATGTGCTTGTTCGAATAAGGCCATTGCAGCAACATTCCGTCAATAATATCAAATATCTTTGTCAATGTACCCTCATCCAATATAAAGAGGTCTAAAAGCTTTTATCATATCTCGATTTATCGACTACCTGATTGTTTTCTCGTCTGGAAACACGATTATGAAGTCTGAAACACATTTCCGACACATGAAGGCGATGAGAAAAACGAGAAATGAAGTGTTCCATTAGCAAGGACAACATTCTCCTTTTAGCTAGTGCTAATAGAATGTTTGGTTTGCAGGCAGTCAGTTAAAATATTTATTTAGTAGAAGTCCTTTAATATTTGATACTTCTTAATGACAGTGTTCGTTCCAATGAATAAAAAGCACGCTATCATCTGCACTTACTTAAGCCATTAATTTTCAGGTGGGTCTTTGTACAAATTATGAATAATTTTGCGCGTCCGGTTATTGAACAGATGTATTTTAGATTATTTTACACTTTGTGTTTTTTTCCATGAAACTCGATAAAAATCAGTGTTAAGACACAATTGTTTTTGACGTTTGATTAAACTCTGATGGCTACCAGTATAGCTGAAAACGGTGGTTAAAAGCATTGGTATTGAATCTTATTTTGACTTTTGAACACCGGTATACTACTGTTGCCTTTATTTACTCTTTATAAAAAAAAACTATTCTTTTCAAATACTTCGTCTTTCAAGTTGAGAACTAAATAAGACATTTTGATCGAAAGAAAAAAAATTTGAAAACGATCCAACAATTCATCCAAAAAATAATTATTCATGTTTTAAAGAGTGTAAGTACATGTATAATGAATCATGTAATCGATTGTTGGGTGACTTATTTTCAATATTCTAGCTACTAGTTAAAATGCAGAACCTATTCCACTTGTTCAAGAATCGTAAAACAATATTGAAATATACAAAACAAGTACTTCTAATTTTGACAACTTTTGATTTTATAGTTTTTAAAACTTCTAATTTGATTTAATAATTATCTGTTTACCAAAATTTGAATTGTTTAAAATACTACCTCAGGAACAGATTTCTTGAGCGGTATTTAACAAAACCTTTCGGAATTGTTGGTCTTAAATGCTGTTCAACTTCGTACTCTATTTGGCCTTTAATCTGTTTTCATTCGAACGTCACTGTCGATTCTTTTTT